TTAAAACCTTAGATCTAGTAACAAGGAAACATAAAGCTTGGATCTTGGTTACTCATAATGGTCCAGAAGTGTTGCTAGAGGTTGCAAATGGACCTTCCAACCTGAAAATATGCTTCAATGGTGATCTATTCTTCTTCAAACCACCAAAACTCCATCAAAAGCTCAAGAATCACAATGAGAGGCTAGGGTTAGGATTTTACTAAGCTTAAGGACAAAGGATACTATTTTAGAACCCTAAAATGAAGTTTATGGGGTTTAAATACGATATAAAGCCTAAAAGATCATAGGCTTGGGTTGTAGCACATTTCACGTCATGAGCTCTTATTGCTCACGTCGTGAGCTCAACATATATCAACATCTTCATTTAATAACTCATCACGTTGTGACCTTTAGATGGTCACATCGTAAGCCTTGTTTTTACCCAAAATCCAAGCACTTGACTCCTTGAATCCCTAAATCTATCCGATCTGGAAACCGGGTGTTACAATATGCATATGCAAATTCATATGCATAAGAATAAGTAAATGCATAAGCATATGTATAAGTATATACGTATGCATAAGAATACGTATACACATAAGACAATTAAATACATATGATTATGCATATGCATATGCATATACATATACATAAGAATAAGTATATGCATATTTATAAGTATATGCATCTGCATAAGAGTAAGTATATACATATGCATATCCATATGCATAAGAATAAGTATATGCATATGCATATTCAAATGCATATGAATAAGAATAAGAAAGACTTCTTTTGTTTCTAATTACACTTTGTTCATCAACGCATCATCCATAGAAAAATATGAAACACTTACTACATACACCTCTAACTTGCTACAAACATATATATATATATATATATATATATATATATATATATATATATATATATATATATATATATATATATTGAAATACATAAACACCAAACCATAATGGAAAAATAGAAACATTTACAAACATGGATGATTTTTGGTAAATAAAATCAGTAGTAAGGGACCAATTTTATTCATATAACTTCTTATAGGGACCATAGGTGTGACATCTAACAGTTGCTCTTATTTCAGACATTCAATAGAAAAATGGCATTTAAAAGTAATAGTTGCTAGTTGATTTAGTTAGACTCTAAAATTGATCAAAAAGAAGTACATGATTTAGTTATGATGAATTAAGACACTCTTAAGTATGTTTCACTTCTGTCAAGGGCATTTACATCCAAGTTTAAAGCATGAAAAGTGTGTCCAAGTGCTAAATGTAACTCAAGGGCATTTATATTGATGTTTAAAAATGGAACCTTTGGCAATTTTTTTTTCTAGGTTTACAATTTACAACTCAGGGGTATTTTGTGTCCAAGAAATAAATGGAACTAATGGGTATTTGATTCCGGTTGCAAAAATACAACCAATGTAAATGATGCATACCAAGAAATGTTAAATGTTGAATACCAAGAAAATGAAACACATGATGTTGCATACTCGATCTTTTTCCAAGTATGCCCTCTAATTTTGCATCTTAACAAATGCCTTTGCTGATCGATAAGAGAGGGAAATTCTGTAATTTAGATTCCCGAGCCATAGAATCCAACTGAAAATCAATGTATAAATTATCATAATCTTATTACAAGTATAAAAAGTTAGAACAATAAGAAAAACGGAAGAACTTGTTTGATGCAATAACATACTTGTTAGTAAAAAATCATTAAAAGTATGGTTGAGATTTTTTTTTACCTGTTTGGTTTCTTGATTACAGGGGGTTCCATGTCAAATAAACTACCTATTGGTCATATATTATGAAGCTTTTTCACTTACCAAATTAGTGAAATTAAAATGGATACACGCTTTTCTTTTCTTAAACATGAAATGTTCATTGAAAATTAGGAAGAAGAATTGAAACAGTTGGTGTGCATGGAGCCCTTGATATTAACAGTAAAATAATAATATACAATGTTAATGTGGCTTAAGTCCTAATTCATAACAAAACAAGATAAAAATTTTGGATAAACAAACGTATTATCGATTGACATAAAAAACAAACGAAATCAGGTTAAGCAATAGGAAACTGAGAATTTATGATAAAATCGATCGATTTACTTGATAAGTCAAAAAAATCAATCGATGATTATTAAAGAAAGCGTGAAACAAATTTCTTGTTTAATATGTTATTCTGATTCTACAACAAATCGATTTAACGACGTAAATTGAAAGAACAAATAGATCGAACATATCAATTTGTCGGAAAAACAAAACTAGAATTACTCAGATGTTGAGAAGATTGTGAACAAATGATACATCGATGAAAAACCATGTGAAAAAACATATGCATCAATCTAATGCATATGTATAGTTAAAACTTTTTTGTTCAAACTGGAATTGAACTAATTGACATTGTGTAAAAAGATTAAAAACAAAATATTGAAATTGGATTAAGATCCCTTAATTACAAATAGGAAATAGATTGAAATTTTATTATAAATGACATTGAAGGAGTTAGCTGGTTTGTTGGTTTGCTCCTCCAAAAAGAATTCGTCGGTGATATATATATATATATATATATATATATATATATATATATATATATATATATATATATATATATATATATATATATATATATAACATATTTAATCTTATAAAACTCAAACACAGGTACTATAAAAAATTTATTTATTAACAATAAATTAAAGATAATAAGTTTACATTGGATGGTTATCATAATGTATTTCAAAGTTTGGATGAATTATTATCTAAAATATAAGGTTGAGGTGACACAATCTCATAAGTTTTTCTTGTTTTCGCAAATTATTTACATTTTCGCCTAAGCAATATATATATATATATATATATATATAGACACACACACACACACATAGAGGGTTAAGTTCATGTGAGACGGTCTAATTTTGTGAGACCGTGAGACGCAATCCTAGCTACTCATTTTGCAGATAAAAAAACATTTTTTAATAACTGAAAATTTTTGAATTTTTTTGTCAAATATTATTTTCGTCATTTATATTTTCTAAAAAAATTAAAAAAATACAAAAAATAAAAATAAAAATACCGTATCTTTATATATTCTAGTAGAATATTAGAATATTATAGTAGAATATTAAAATATTTTACATATCTGACAAATCTAGTAGAATATTCTAATATTCTAAAAATCACATTAGAATATTTACAGTGTAATATTCTATTAAAATATATATTACATATTAAAAAAAACGATATTTTTTTTTTAAAATTATGTTATTTTATTTTTATTTTTTTTAGATAAAAAAAGTGACGGAAATAATAATTTAAATTTAAAAAAAGAATTTTTGGATTTTTCCTTTTATTTTGTATTTTAAATTTATATTTAGATTGCGTTTCACGGTCTCACAAAATTCGTATGGTCTCAAATGAACCTGAACACACACACACACACACACACACACATATATATATATATATATATATATATATATATATATATATATATATATATATATATATATATATATAGGGAAAAGTGAATATACCCTTAAGGGTATATAAGCTTAGGTACCCAAACTCATAATAATACATCGTTTTGTTTGATATATTAATTATAATATTATTAAACTTCAATCCTTAACTTGATTTATATTCAATATTTTTAAACTTTCACTATTATGTTCCTCTTACATCACATCTTTTTGTCGAAGACTTACTAGGCTATATATATTATTGTTGAAAATGACAATTATGTAAGAGGAAGATAAATATGAAATTTATAAAAATCTTTGAAGTAATTCAAGTTAGAAGTTGAATTATAAGAACATTGGACAATTACAATATCTATATATGATACAAAACGATGTAGTATAGTAAGTTTGGGTACCTAAGCTTATATACCGTTAAGGGTATATTCACTTTTTCCATATATATATATATATATTATATATATATATATATATATATATATATATATATATATATATATATATATATATATATATATATATATATATATACTAGTCGTAGACCCGCGCAAAGCGGCGGCGAAAAATAGTTTCTCATTCGGCAATAAGTTCTATACGGAAACATGTTAGATTTCAAGTAACACAAAACATATGCATATTGTTATCAATTGGTTTTACGGCAACAAATAAATGTAACCCTCGCAATACAAAACAAAATAAATATTTTGGTGTGTAGTGTACGTTTATAATCCTTCATTTTAGAAATCAGGACACATTCATACGAAGTGACTTGCTTATACCTTTATTGGTATTGATAAAGTTAGTAAAAGGGAGAATCAAAGTTAATCTTAACAACCCGGTTTGCTTGATACAGATAAGTCTAAATGGATATATCCTATTATCCACTTTACTATCTAAAGTTTTAAACCGAAAAATAATAAAATTAATACAAACATATTTCATGGAACATGAATAACAAATGGAATACTAATTTTCTATTAGTCACAAATCATACATAGATATTTTTTCTTAATATTAAACAAAATATTTGATTTTACAACTGATTGGTCAATTTCGATTAGAGAGCATAAATAATAAATAAAACTTAAAAAATTACAAATAAAAGAGCATATATGATGGATTATTTGTTTTATTTTAATTGGATAAGAGATTTGGTCAAATTTTTGGAAGAGATAAGATTTCAAAGGTAATCAAATTAAAATTTAATATTATTTTATTCATGATTAGTTGTACTTTACATTTAGAAAGTTGAACGTCTTAAAAAAAATATTATTTTATTGGATCTATTTATAGAAATAGTAGAATTTCTTTTATAAGATAGTAAATATATATATATATATATATATATATATATATATATATATATATATATATATATATATATATATATTCTTATTCTTGTAAAACGATGATGAAGTAGACGATTTTCAAATTCCTGCCAAGTGTACAAAGAAAAGTTCATACAAGGAAATGAAACTTAAAATGTAAATATTTACAAATCCTAGTACTACTTGTAAGTTTACAAACTAATATTCTTATTCCGAACCATTCCTTTTCATCGATCACTTACGCAATTAATCGAACCACAAATATGCACCGATCTTAATATAGACCGGTGTAGGAGTAACGATTTTCGAATTCCTCACGAGTGCTGAACGAAAATTTTATACAAGAAATTAAAATTAAAAATATAAAAAGTTTACAAATTCTACTACAAGTGGAAGGACCACTTCCTTGCTTTGTTTATACTCCACTTTACCTTGCTTTCTCAATCACCGAAATCGACCCACAAAGGTAAATTCGTAAACCCTAAAGAGAGAAACCGCGAGTGTGTGTGTGTGTGAGGTAAAGATCTCAAAAACCTGCGTAAAACGTTTCCCTCTTTTGAAACCCCAATTGCGAAGAAGATGGTGGACTTTAGTAGAGTGCAAAAGGAGCTTCAAGAATGTAACAGAGACATTAATGTCTCGGGTATAAGCGTAAACCCTAAATCCGACAATCTCACCAATTTGATCGGCACCATTCCCGGCCCGATTGGTACTCCGTACGAAGGCGGAACCTTCAAGATTGATATCAATTTACCTGGTAATATATTAAATATACAGTAATGCTACTCATATTTAGGTTTTCAGTCGAATGTTATATGTTTATCATCTTAATTCCAATTTCTGATTGATAAACATTAGCTAAGCTTGGATTCCATGTACGATCGATTCCATAATCCATAGCTTGTATACTTGAAACCATCTGTTGAATCACCAAATTTGAAAACTTTTATTTGTCAAATCAGGGATTAATCGATTCTGAATTTATGATTCATTTTTGGAAGACACGTCAAATGATTCATGTTGTATAAATTGCAGATGGATACCCTTTTGAGCCACCAAAGATGAAATTCGCAACCAAAGTTTGGTATGTATTTCCATATCGATTCATTTCTCATTATAACTGTTCCATTAATTCTCTAAACACACTAATCATAACGAACACACTAATCATAATGTTGTAATCGTCTTTAAACATTAAACTTTCTTCCTTTTTTAGTTTTTCATCCAAACATGACAAGATACTGCTATTAACTAATCATCATTGAAGGTTATATTTACATCTTAACAACTTAATTTCAAGGCACCCAAACATCAGCAGCCAAAGTGGAGCCATTTGTTTGGACATTTTGAAGGATCAATGGAGTCCAGCACTTACTTTGAAGACAGCTCTTCTTTCCATACAGGCTCTACTCTCTGCCCCTGAACCTGATGATCCACAAGATGCTGTTGTAGCTCAACAAGTAATACATTTCATTTTCATATTAACACACAAATTCACATAATTATACCAATTTATATGTATTCATCTTTTATTGGTTGTTTTTCAGTATCTTAAAGACTACCAGACTTTTGCAAGCACAGCTCGATACTGGACAGAGTCTTTTGCAAAAACATCATCTCTTGGGGTTGAAGAGAAGGTAAATATTATAATAATTATTATTTAGGAGTGAAATATTAAATAATATAAGGAGATTATGTTTAACAGTTTAAATGTTGGAATAGGTACAAAAGCTTGTGGAGATGGGGTTCCCTGAAGGGTTGGTTAGGAGTACTCTGGAAGTTGTTGGTGGTGATGAAAATATGGCTTTAGAGAAGTTATGTTCTGGGTAAAATATATATATGAATTTATTATATATTATATGTAGTCGAATTTAAATTCTCATTTGTGAACACACGAAAACTTTTGAAAATGAAAAATATTTGTTATCAGAAGAATTGTGTTTGAGTGTTATTGTTTTGTTGCAATATTGATCTAGGAGTGTATAAGTTATATAATCCATAGTAATGTAGTAGTGTAATAAAGATCGGCTACTTTATATTTGACACTTGCTTTATGTTTCTTTTTAACAACTACATATTAAATAAAAAAGGTTGACACATGTATGATAATTTATATGAGAACAGTTATATTTGTTAGTATCTATTTTACTAACTTTTAGATTATAAAGCAAATTAATGAAAATATAATAAAGCCTCTGTTGTTGACTGGGATACTTTTTATATTTTATAATATGTTAACGAGTTCTATTAGTTAATAAGTTTTGTAATAAAGTTTTTTTATGAAAAAAATAGGTTAAGGGCTCAAACACAATAAGTAGATATGACTATAGGCTTGATATGTAGTGACATTGGTTTAGATGTGTACAAACTGGATTTGTTTCTCGGTTTTGGTCGATAAGTCAAATTTGGATCGAGTTAAAACCCAATCGATTTCAAGCCTTTAGAGCAAAATTATCCAAATTTATAGGAGCTTGTTATTCTTTCAAGTTTTTTTTTGTATTTTGCCAAATTTGTTTTTTGTGTCATAATTTAAGGAATCTTTCATGGTTGATGAGAAATGGGCCAATGAGTAAAACTCATGGCCAAGTGATGATGTAATATATTTTCTGAGTATTCGGGACTGTTGATTAAGGGGATCAAAACGATATTTTTTTAGCTTTTAATTTTTAGAAAAATATTTCATAGGCATCCAGGATAGGGTCTTAGAAAACATCTAAAGCCTTTTATAAACAAGTGAAAGAAATAATTGATAAAAACAATATTTTTTACTATATGAAAATCAATTTATTAGACTATTCTCATTCACAATTAAATCTAATCCAACCTAACTCAAGTATTCATTAAAAATCTAATTTCTTTTTCTTCCGCCTACACAACCTAATTAAATCCAAATTTTCACTCTTAATATACAACCCAACAAAAATTCAGTTTTAATTAAATATATAATCTATTATTCTTTTTATTCTAATAAAAATTATTAAAAATATTAAATTTCTTTTTCAAAACAACTTATTATTTATTTAAAATATAACAAAATATATATATATATATATATATATATATATATATATATATATATATATATATATATATATATATATATATATATATATATATATATATATATATATTGGTGTTTATATGTATTACCGTTTATGGTATATTTATATTTATGTTATATTTTACTTTTTAAAAGCTAACAGTTTATTACGATAAAACAATATATAATGATTGATTATATAAAACATAATAAAAATATGTAAATTACAAGAATTATTATTCAACATTACATTTTTTTTCTGAACGGTCCTTACAAAACTTTTTTCGTTGAGATGGTCCCTACGAAGCAAACTTTGCACACAATTAGTCCAGTCCGTTAATGCCCGTTACATTAATCCATTAAATTGAAAGAATTTTAGATAATTATTATTTTTGTCATTTTGTGAAATTTGTTTAATAACCATTTGTGAAATTTTAATTTGAAATATTACAATTTTTGTTTCTTAGTTTTTCTTTATTACATTTCAGCCTTCTTTTTTCACAGCTTTGTTATTATATAATTTTTAAATATATAAGTAATTTTTGTTGTCTATATTTTATCTAAAATATTTAAATTACAATACATAATTAAATATTTTTGTTTTCTATTTTTTATCTAAAAATATTTGAAGTGTAAAAACATCATTTTATTACTTTTTAATTTTTATATTATGTAATTTTTAAGATTTATGTTTATTTATCTTATACAAATACATTAATCATTATGAAAAAAAAACATGATTTGTTATTATAAAAAATACGTTATTATAAAAATAATAGTATGTTGCTATTTTATTTTAAAAATATAAGTATGTGATTTTGAGTTAAAGATAAAAATATGTTTCGGTTTGTGATTTTATAATATAAGTATAGTAAATAGACAACAAAATTTATCTATATATTTAAAAAAAATATATAATAACAAACTTGTGAAAAAATAGGGCCGAAAAGATAAAAAGAAAAAAAAAATAAGAGACTAAAATTGTAATATTTCAAATGGTCATCGTATAAAATATGATAAATGACCCTTACGCAAGTTTAGCAAAATAACAGATATAATCCTTATCCAAAATTCTTTCAATTTAATGGATTAATCTAATGAACATTAACGGTAATGACAATTTGTATGTAAAGTTTGTTCCGTAGGGACCATCTCAGGAATTTTTTTTTTGTAAGGATCATTTTAAGGAAAAATTATAAAGTTAAAGAACCATTCATATAGTTTACTCTAATAAAAATAAAAAATCAACATAATTGCCAAGTGTCAACCTATGAAAGGAGACTTATTGGACAACCATGGATCACTAAAAGCCATGTTTGCTGGGTTAAGAGCTATATTCTTTTTCTTTTTATTATTTTTAAGGACCAACCAAATACTTTAGTTACCAATGACTATAGTCTTATCGATTTAAAAACCAGTTTCAACCAAACCGATTCCTGAATAGAATCACATCAATAATTGATTTGTTTTTTGCACATCTAGTACCGGTTAATAACTTACTTTAAAGTAATATTTTAATTTATTATTATTATTATTATTATTATTGTTGTTGTTGTTGTTGTTGTTATAATTATTAGAAACTTCTGAATTTGTCAAAACTTTCAAGAATTAATATGTTTTGTAGAGAAACTACTAAGTTAACTGGAAAATATAAAATGATATATAATAGAATGTAGAAAAATATGTTTATTGTAATTAATAAATGGTTTATGTGAGAATTTTTTTTTAAAAAAAATATAAACTATTTGAAAAGCTACTATGAATAGTTTGTTAAAAAGCCAACTTGTAAATTATTTTTTTCTTTACCAAATAGTATAACCTTAAAAAACTAAAAAAATCAGTTATCTTATAAACTAGTTATTATTAGAATTTAGGGATTTCGAATAACAATTGACTTGGATGTTTCAAAGATCGTGATTGTTTCACTTTTCGAAATCTGCAATTCGTCTATATTGCATGAGGTACACAAATTCAGAAGTGGGATAATTCAATAACTTTAATTCTGATTACATGCCTAATCATAATTAGAAACTCATAATACCTATTGTGATTTGTAAGTTCCATAGACAATTTTTTTGCAGAGTAACGATGCAAATTTTTATTTGTTTTTTTATATAAGTTGTCTGCCACATCAATCTTTCTAGGACCCCACTAGGGGCGCTATCCCTAGATCCCACTAGAGGGGCTTCACTAGGAACCCTATTCTTAGAGGCGCTGCCTCGGACACTGTATTTTAGAGCCCACATTTATCAATTCGAGTGTGCACTCCGCACCCTTAATCTTGTAAATTAAATTCAACTAAGTCTGTCTCGATACTAAAACTAACTACAGTAAAAGATGTTGATAACACTAAAATAACCAACAATTATAACATAAATGACAAAGGAGTTTACATTACATTTGATTTAAAAAATGATATACAATTTTGTTATTGTATTTGTGTAAAGTTTTTCAATCTATACGTAAAAAGAGTACTTACGTTAAAATTATATTTATCAGTGTTAAGTGATTGTTGATTAATGACACTAAACGAAATGAAGAATAAAGAATAAATAAAATGTTCCAATGAGATTTTATTATTGAAGCCAAGGTGCCTCAAAAATGGTTTACAAATCTTTTTATAAAGTTTGAGCTGAATTTTACATGTATTGCTAAGTTACTTGAAAATTTTCTTAATTAAGCTGTTAAATAAGGATAGAAAAAATAGAAATTAAGGAAACATATATCCTGTTAAATGATCTAAGGATTAAAATTTGTGGGAATTGGAATCGAAGGCATACATAGATATTCTTTCTAATGACAGGGAGGTAAGCTGCCTTCGACTGGTTGTTACAAGCTTCATCCCGAAGACAATTGTCTAGCGATATAAAATGAGTCTCCAAACGCCTAGCATGTTAAGAATTATATTATGTTTAATTTGGACCTCTTTATGCCTCATTTGTCTTTCTCTCTTTCTTTATATAGGCTTATGTTAGATCTTCTATGTGCTCCACATCATAATATATTGCATATCAAATTAATTTACAAAAGTTGTTGATTTTTTTTCCAGGTGTGATGTTTTCTCTTCGTTTGGTCATAGGTCAATTAAAGTGAAATGTCTTGGTTTTTTTAAATGAGTAAAGAAAATCTATTAAAATGTTCAACACATAGAATATAGACAAAATTACATGGTTGGTCCTTGTGATTTTCAAAACATATTGATTCAGTATAACTATCAAACACGCTACATGTTATGTGGTTTCAGAACTTGCCTCTCTAGTCCTTTTGGCCAATGTCGTTAAATTGAAGTCGTTATTTTATGTTAGGTCAACAACCTGTATTACATGGCTGTCCTTATGGTTTCCAAACACTACACTCTCGACCCTTTTATGATTTTTGAATTTTTTTTGTATTTTTTCATACTTATAAAATTTACAATTATTTAATTTTTTTTGAATATTTTTGCATATTTATGTTTATTTATAACTTTACAAAAAAAAATCACGATGTATAAACTTTCAAATAGAAAATGTATTTTACCACATCATTCACAACTAACACATTTTCAAAATGAATGAACAAAATTAACTACCATTTCATGCAAACTACTATTAAAAAAACAATTACCATTTCATGCAAACAACAATTACCATTATCAAACAAATACAAAAAGAAACTACTATTTCATTCAAATAACATGTACCAACTAATCCATGACATTCGGGGTAAAGTCAATGTAACATCCCAAAAATCATGATAATTTTTTTTATTTTATAAAATATTTCCATACAACCATAATGTATAAACCATAATTTTAAAGCCAAATCCATATAATCAAAGTATCCAAATCAGTCAAACACAAATCAATAGGAGGATGTGTATGATCACGTATTTGCCTTGCCCCTATCACGCATTTGATTAGTTATGCGCTTTTGATTATTTTATGAAAAAGAAAGAAACATTGATTATAGCTTATTTTAATCTAGGGAACATGTCATGAAAGCATGGGTTTAAAATACTATAAAGTGGTATGAGTTGTTAAAAAGGCAAAAAACCTTATGAGTAAAGAACTAGCTT